CACATGTCCGACATCCTCCTCCATGGATTTCTACAAGGATTTCATGACTTTTGGGCAGGACTTTGTCAGTTGCCTGTAGCTCTTGTCAGTTGCATGGCTTCGCACCGCTCGACACATACGCCGGACAATTAACATGGAACCCGAAAACCACCGGGTTGTATAGGAATATCATCTTTCAAAGGTCCAGGTTCCATCAGGTTCCATCAGGTTCCATGTGGACCCTTTCCCGGGCTTACACATGGGCTTTACCACTCTTCATCATCGCCCTGGGTCGCAGGTCGCAGGTCGCTCGGCACATCCATGTGAGCTCGCTGAGCTCGGCCCAAAGATGGGGCAGCCGATTCAGAACCCAGCAGACCCGGATCTCGATGTGGCGAGCCAGCACGGTCCAAAACAACACGTAAGATATACAATTGTATACACCTGGGCCCCCTGTTTGGGGTGCCTAATGATAGTTTGTTAGAGGTTAAGGGGTGTCCATTAACCACGCCTAAGGGGGCTCTGGCACATGTCATCTACTCCAAAACCTGAACATGTTGAGGCCTTTGATTTCAACCGACTGGTGCATTGCTCGATGAGGGTGGAAACTGGACGCCCCCCAAAGCCCGAACTGGCTGCAACATGCATCGGAGCTGTCAAGGCCATGTATCCCTTCCCAAACACTCCATGGGACTGGCATATTTACTCAGTTGGGGTGGTTTCAGGGGTCAATGTAGAGTATAAATAAATAAATAAACATATATATATATATAAATATTAAGTGTAAAACACAGTTTTAAAAAGTAAACCGTAAACAATTGGCTGGCTGGGCAAAAGGGCAACAGCCCACACACCGCCGTGCCAAGGGGCATCCATCCAAGTGCCGTCTCCGCTGGGCAAGCGCAAGTGCCCTCGCCGATCGATCCAAAGCAATGAACCTGTGCGTCGTCGATCGGCGGCGACGCGTGGAGAAGGAGCACGAGAAAGACTTGTTTGGCAGTTTTGCAGTCACTGTATGTCCTTTAATGGTTTCTTCATCGCATTGAACACATGCTGAAGGATCTAGGATGCTTCTGCCATGCTTCTGCCCAAGATCCTCCAAATTGAAAGGCTCGTGATGTTCAAAGGGCTTACGGCTTACAAACGAACGCACAAAACACAAGCACATGTCGCTCGAAAACTGCTTAGGCTCCCTGCCGTCATCTAGGAAACACACTGCTTGTGGTGCCTGCGAGGGGGTCGGGGCTTAGGTCTGGGATCGCTGGGCCACCCATGACTCTGGGAGTTCAAGAACTCCTCCCATGTCCGACCAAATAACCCCCCATAAAAAGAAAAAACACAAACAAAAACATTCCAAAGTGGCTAAGCACGAGTTGATGTTTGACCAATCACTGTTGGAACCCATATCATATCGTTCATGTCAAATCTCTTTTCGGGTTTCCCCCACGAACCAGCGAGAGATCAAAGTCCAAGCTCCAGCTCAGCAACCCCACAAACACCATTCGAGCCAAAACAAACTGTTCACCACCGGCCACTTGTGACCATCCCAAACTTCCAGGCAAACAGTTGCAGCAGCCACAGCCGCGAAAAAGCAAAGAACCACAAAAAACAAACACGCGTGCATTCACACACACACAGGCATCGCCCCGATGCTGCGCAACTCCTTTTCGCTTGGGAGCGCCCCTGATGTGCGACCAAGGAGGTGCTGTAGCTCCTTCATCAAGGCGTTCTTCAAGCGTTCTTCGAGGCACGGAAGCAGCGCCTGCCGTGTATTTGCACGTGTGGCAGTCCCAACTGCTCCATGCGACTAGCATATTGACTGATCAGTTGGGGTGGTTTCAGGGGCCAATGGAGGCACATATTCCAGTACCATGGAGTGTCTGCCAAGATCCAATCCAAACCTCCAACGCTGGGAGTATAGAAAAGTCTTGAGCCTTGAGGGAGAACCTCAGCATTTCCATGCATCCCAAAGCTCTTTGGGAGTCACCATCGGGCCATGAATATCTATGGCGTCATCATGCGTACCATCTCCCTGCCAAGCTTTCCCACCCCTGTCATTCCCGAGACGTCCCAGTTCCACCGGCACCCCACATCGGACACCCGGAGGATCCGCCGCCTCAGCACTGGTCGCGAGCAGTCGGGCCTGTGGCCCCAAAGCGGCCTCCAGTCTTTCCAGCGCTGTTTCACCTGGCAGCTCCGGCAGTTCCGGTGCCACGCGACAGGTGGAACGATGGTGCCCAAGCGACAGGTGGTGGTTCCGGATTTGGTTCTTTTCGGTTCCGGAGGAGTGGAGGAGTAAGAAGGATCTAAGAAATTCCTTTTCAAAGATTTCAAAGAAAACCAGGATCACGGCTCGTGGGCCACTCAGTTCGGGGTTTGAGCTGAAAAATCTTGAAAGGAGGCCATGCCAGGTGTGCACAAAAGTGGACCATGAATCATGATAATGGTTCATGTTGGCACACCACCAGGAAGGTGCATGATGAATTCTACAACATGAGGGATCACAATGATAATCAATAATCCCCGCGCTCAAAAAGCTTTTTGAAAAGGATTGGACAACATTGGGCACATCACACATGTCCAAAGGTCTAACAGGTGGTCAAGCACATCTGCATCTGAGACCAAGCTCCCTTGAATTGAACAAAGCCAACATTACTTGCAAGGACCTTTCAACTGGTGATGTTTTGTGCCTAAAAGGTGATGTTCTAGACACCTGTTGATCACTGTGACATGTGAGACATGTCACATACTTACCAATGACCAACCACTACCAGCCTCTGCGAAACACTACAACCACTGCCCGGCAGCGAGGCCGTTTTCCTCTGGGCTTTTTCTCGCCCCGCTCGGGCGCATTCGTCGGGTTCTCGGCGCATCGCGCGTGCCGGTTCGGGTTCTCCGAGTGAAGGCCCTTGAAGGCCTGTCGGCATCGCCCCGTCGGCATCGCCGCGTCTTTGGCCGGAAGGGTTGGAGGAGGAAAACCATACGAAAAAAACAAAGCTGCATGGTGTAGATGATGGGTGAGCAAGACCCCATCATAACTCCAGTCAATAGGTCAACGCTACTTAAAAACTGATGACTTTACTGTTGCACAGTGACCGGGTCGGGAGATAGGAAAACAGCATAAGTCTCGATACGGTACTTTTGGATACAGTTCCGGGGGGGTTGATGGCTCGATCGACACTTCCACTCCTGACCGGGGGAAGAAAGGAAGTCCAACTGCCTGCCAACCTTTCAGGCCATCCATGGCACCAAGTGCACCTTCCTCCCCACTAGCCACCTGCTCGAGAGAATCATCTGCCCAGCCATCTTTGTGTTGAGATACGCCACCAATGACCAACCGAGCGTCAAAAGAAAACGGATATCAGTTGACGTTCCGACTTCCGATCCCTTTCAGGATTCTTAAGAAGATGTTGAGTTATCTTGAGTTCCTGTCCCAAACCAAGTATGAAACCCATGCCTGCACTGACCCTCTTCAACTTGACATCTCTACAACCACCCGATATCTATGTCAATAGGCCAGACTCATGGATGGTTTGGGTATTCACCCGCAAGCACGGCCCAACATACAGGACTTCAATTTCCTCCTCCTGATTCAGTGCTCGAGGCCCCCGAGGGCCACGCCTACTGACGTCGGTTGACGCCTTCCTTCGTTGCTTTCTGGGACGAATGGGCTTTTGGAGACCACATCCCAAGGGAGGAAACAACATGAAAAACCCTGAAACACCGTTGATTGAAACCGAATGAACGAAGTGGATCAACATGGATCAACGGATCCTGCGCAGTAATTAAGATCTATCAAGATCAGTTCTGTCATCAAGTCACTAGTCCGGTAGTCCGGCCGGTTGGTCGGCAACTGGCGGTCTGAGGGTGACAACCACGGACACCGTTCGTTGAGACGCACGGATGTTCCAAGCGTATTCACTTGTTGAGTTGCTTCTTGTTACTTGTCGCGATGCACTTGTTTCTACTAGCGTCCTTGTAACTACTAGTAAGGCACTTGTTGATCAGGGTTTTCCACCACAAGGACAAGGGATGATGCGAAAGAGCAACTAGCTCTTTTGTGGGATAATGCTTGTCACAGCATGCCCCTTGTCAGGTAATGCCGCTGTCAAGAAATCTAAAGAAACCGGCTCAACTGACGTAATCTCCAAGCTGAGCCAGCCCAGAAGAAAAGGCTCGAACACATTCGAGCACTATACATGCCAGCAACATTACAATTGTTACACTAATAGCATTCTGTCCCCGTGTCAGCCTGCTCGGAAGCGACAACCTGCTCAACCCGCGACTTACTGCGCTGGGTGAGCTCACTTTGCTCTCACGCGTTTTGGCCAGCATATGCACGCGCTTTGCTGTGCCCACACACCAATTCTATCTACTGTTCGGTTGGAGGCCATCGCTTGGACCGGATCTCAGCATTCTTCTGACCAAATCCAAGCTCCCAGCACCCAGTGCTGAGGTTAATGAGTCGTGTCATCTGAGGCTGCCTCCCTGGGTGGTCCAGAATGTGTCGCACACTCACCAAATGTACATCTGTAGATGTATATTTATGTACATTCCTGGAGTCTCAAAGTACCTCAGAAAATGAGTGCAAATATATGTATATATGTGTTTTATATAGGGTCCTGTCCTGTTTTCTAGGGTACTTTGGAGGGTCTAGGTTGATGTACAACCATTTGGCAAAGAACAGTGGTCTGCCAGGAAGTGCTGGTGTGAAGACTTTAAGTTAAAACTGATTGATGCCTCCCTAATTTGTCAAAACTCCTTGTGGGCCTCTGTGGAATGGGCATGAAAGGTCTCTCTCGCTCTTGTTTCCCCTATGGAAGGCTACTAACTTCTCTATACTTTAAACAAGGCCTCATCCCCCCAAACCATGCTTCTTTCGCTTTGACCGTCATGAATGCTTCTGTTGCATCTGCTGTTGCCCAATTTCTGCTGTGTGAGGGCACTGTTTCAGCAACAGGGCTTTGCCAAACTCTTTGGACGCCTTTCTACGACCCTTGCCCGCTGCTTCCGACATCATCTCAGCATTCCGCCAAATCACCGCGAGTGCGAACCTCCTTGGAACTCCAGGGGCGGCGCCTCAAAAGCGGGGGCAGCTGTAGAAAAAGAAAGGTTGAGGCAGGGGAAACCTGTCGCCAGCTGCGAATTGTTAAGCTGCCAACAACTGTCGTGCGCATTGAGGAATGTGCCTTCCGGGGATGTCACTTGCTTAATAGTGTGGATGCTCCAGGATTGTAGCCTTCGGAACAAGAGCCTTTGCTGACTGCTGCTCATTGCAGTTAGTGAAAGCAAGTGGAGGCAGTCGAAATTCCTGGAGTCTCAAAGTACCTCAGAAAATTAGTACAATAGTATAATTATACACAAAAAATAGACTAATAATAATATATATAACTATAAACACTGTATATGTTTGGGGTCATGTCCCGTTTTCTAGGGAGCTTTGGAGGGTCCAGGTTCATCCAGCTTTGTTGGCTTGCTGGTTTGAAGTTCAGTGTGCTGCTTCAAGCACTTGTTTTTGTTGCTTCCTGTGTTGTTGCACGCGCCAATTCAATGCAATAGTATCTTTATTTATTCAATGCCACCCTCAAGGCAAAATAGGGAATGACTGTACCCTAGGGCTCCTGGCCTACCTCCGTTTCGGTTCTGTGGTTGGGGTAGGTTTGGGGGGCTCTAACTGTTTAACTGTACCACCTGAGGATGTGGTTGGAGCCTAGGATAAACAAAGGTCTCAATCCTGGACTTGGGCTTCGCAGGTTGCGTCCCTTCGCGTTGGACTAAAAATGAAGGTCTCCGCTTCCGAAAGATCCACTTCGGTGCGAGGGTGAAAGTAGGGTTCCTCACAAAGTAGCGCCGCAACCATGCAGGGACAGATTCCAGTGGATCCCGAGGGAATTTCCATCCCCAAAAGTAGAGACTTTGTGGCTCCCCTCTTGCGACTCTCCTTTTGGCCACCTAGGTAGGTCCAACAGTGGTGGACACCGCCGCAACCCAAAAGAAACTCCAATGACTCCACCTAGGTCGGTCTCCTTATAGCGGGCTTCCGCCGCATAAAGAACCAAGTGATTGGTGGTGTCAACTCGCTTGACACAAGTTTCTTGCTGGGATATCGAACCAAAATGCTTCAACAAAAACCTCTATAGAAGTTCTTAATTTGATTCTAGATACAAACGGAAAAATGCACTGTCCAGTTGTTTCTAATAAGAACTTCATCCATGCTTTAGTAACATGCCATGGTCTTGAGCCTCCAACGATCCACCAAACCCACTCTCCCACGCTTCGCCTCGGCGATCCCGAGCCACAGAGCGTCGGCAGGCCTGGCTCCGATCCAACGGGTGGAGCGAACAAGAAGCAAAATTCCCTAGGGATCCGTTCTCGTACCAAACCTCAGGTAAGGTACGACATGGACCCCGACAATGGTACGATCATGTCAGTGTCGAACACATCACCTGAGGAGGTACGACTGGAAGCCTAAAAAAATATGACTGGATGCGACGAAAATGGACCCCTATTGGAATGCACAGGATCTGGGTCATGCCCCCTGTCATGTCCCTAACATATTCCACACTAGTCAGCATATATATATATTGTTATATTATAAGTTATAGCTATAAGTTATATATAAGTTATAGTTGGTTTGTGTTCCTGCTTGACTCATCAGATTTGAGAAAACGCCTGAACGACAATCCTGCCCCTGCCGTCCCCAGCTGAACAAATTGAAGGCTTTCAAACACTTTCAGGCTTCAATGCACTTTCAGCACTTTCACTCAATGTACCCCAGGCACTCCATGTAAGGTAAACATTGAGCCGACATTGACCCCCAGTCAACCACCCCTGGCCGTTTCTCGGTCAATATGCCAGTCCCATGGAGTGTCTGGGTACTGCGAACCCTGGCTATTCTTCGCCACCAGCACCCGTCCGTCCGTCCGGTGCACCCGTCCGTCCGCCTGTCGCAGGGGTCGTCGCAGACTGAGGACGCGGAGGCGTGGCCCGTGGCGTTGCCATGTCCCGCGCCGAAACGCTGCGCGTGGTGTCCTGCTGCGGCGGTCGGGTTGCGTTGAACGAGCGCAGCAACACTGCCAGCCCGAATTGACCCTCCAAAGTCTCGTGGAACACCGAGTGACAACAGGATTTTCTTGCATGACACTATAAAATTGGTAACAGGTATATACTTGTAATGACATGTAATGACCCATTTGCTGAAGTACTTTGAGACTTTGGGACACCTCCACCTGCGCCCAGGACCGCGGGTCCTGTAAGCCTTTACCAAGTCCGGTGAAGTACTTCCTAGGTACGGCTGAGCTGGATCGGTTCTGTCCAATTTTGCTGAGCTTCTGTCCAAACATTCTTTTTTGGGGGGTCTTTTTCCATAGGATGAAATAGGCAACATCTGATGTCCTATGTCCATGCATGGATGTCCATGGTTTCTTCCGGGTTCCCGACCTGGACTTGTGCCAGCCATACACGTGCGTATACGACACCTAGATCTGCTGATCGACAGACTACACCCTCCTCAACGTGAAATTACGTGAATGCAGGCGCATTGACGTGACAATGGCTTTCAGAAACAGAAACTGTGGTAATCATATCTCTGACTTCTGAATCATCAGTGAACCTCCCCGCACATCCCAAAAGCAAATCCCTATCAAATGCCTCTATCCTTCCACTCAACTGGGGTCAGTCAGAACGAAACGTGTCAGAACGTTACGGGACGACCCTTCCTGCAGGTCGAAATCGTCGTCACCCAGTGGGCCTCATCCCCTCGTCTCGTTCGACGTCATCGCCTCTGACGTCATCTACTCCTGCTCCAGCCGGTGTTTTCGATCCCCACCACGTACCGAATGACCCAGTCCACCTGTTCAGCTCCACCCACTCGAAAAAGGGTATTCCAGAGCGTCTCTCTGTAGTCACATCGCCTGGAAACCATGGTCTTTTGTGCCCCAAGTCTGGAAACCGGCGAGTGATGAGTGCAATGCCATGGAGGACATCAATTCCTTTCAGATTCCTCCGCACCCGTTCTGGTCTTTTGGGCCGGTCGCTGCATCACGTCCACATTCCCATCGATGCGCACGATCTTGCGCCTTGGAGTGGCGCCTCTGGCTTTACAATCACGAGGTGGATCATTGGACCAACAAGCTGGGACTTAGAGGTGGAAAAAGGGAACATCCACAAATCAATGACAGTTGGACCAAACAAGCTCTCTATATACTCCTCCTACAAATTTGTCCCACAGACTCCATGTATATCCATTTTTGGGGCACATTTATACCGACATTGGGGTGGCTGAAAAGGTGTCAATGTAAGGTAAATATTAGGGCACAGGGCATAGGACAGGGTCCCGCTCACTGGGGTCAATTCAATACATGGAGTGTCTGGGAATATGTGGTTTCGTGGCCGGCCGCATTCACTCTACTGGACCGAGGCACGATCTGTCTGCAAACCGACCCCGTCTCTGCACGCGTTGGGACGACTGGTCTTCAGCCCGAAGCCACACCCAGAAGATTCCATCGGACCTAAACGATCGGAACAAGTGGTGCTTAACAACCGATTTCCCCCCCGTGCCCCCATCCGAAAAGGGCTTCTCCCCCCCGAACGAGTCCTGTGTGAGCGGTGACGTATTATGGCTGGTGACGTTTCAGGTTCATCCGGCAGGCTTTTCAACTAGGGAGCACATGGCCAAACCGTCGAATCTAAGCCATGGTTCATCATCCGAAGCTTCGTCGACGGTGAAACCCCGTCGTCCAAAAATCAACACGTCCAACTCTGCATTTCCTGTATCCAGCTCAGCTCCATGGGACTGCTGTGTGGCCAGCTCGCTTTGGATTTCTTCCAGGTAGCCGCCTGACCAAGTGTACCCGAAAAAGCAACTCTTGCAAACAAAACATCTGCAAAACTGTTCAAGTATGGTCAAGTGCTTTGGTTCTCTTGGAGCTACTCTAGGAAAACACTGAAAAGCGCCAAAGTTCTGCCAGGACCGCGGCTTTGGGCACTCTAAGAGGTGGATTGTGGCATGGTAACCATCTCCAGAGAGCACCTGTTGGAGCATCCAACTACACACTCCCCGGAAGAATCATGGAAGCCATGCGCCACTTTGTTTGCTCGAAGTGGGTGCCATCGGCCGGCTGCCATCCACCGTTGGCCGATTTCAGGGAGAGCTACGTGGCTACGCTGAACCTGCCAACATCGCTCGCTCTTCATGTGCACCAGCAAGTTCAAGGAATCACCCATTGTTGTCAGTTCAACCACCAACTCAAGGCTAGTGCGCCGCACCCTTTGGATGAATAGTGTGAGCCAATACCAATGCAAATGTAAAGTTTAAACCCAAAACGTAAAACAATCATCCAACTCCATCCAACTCCCATATCAAAATGTTCCCCCCAGCCACCCGCCGAACCCACCGTGAACCGGGGCACCCCTCGGATGCCTGAGGGGGGCGGAGAAAAAAAACAACATGTGAAGTTTCGCATCGCGAACCAGCGCCTCGAGCATCAATCTCTGCTTGCAACTTTTGAAGATCCGATTTTTGCCTTCAGATGGTTTCTTGCGATCGGTCACCCTCCGGACGTGAACTCGCTAACGACCGGACGGCACCAGCAGGCGTTTAAATGGCCTAAATGTCCACAAAGAAAGGCAAGCAGTTGAAAGCTATGTCTTTAGCACAGGAGCAATGCAAAAAACCTTCCAAGGGGCCGCAAAGGCATGGAAGGTTTTGATCTGTAGAATCTATTAAAAAATATAAATAGATTCTATTAGTCCAGAACTCAACCACTTTCAGTTTGGCGACCCCTTGAACACTACAGCGAGTCCTGCTATCGACTTTGGACATTGAATGCACTCCATGAAGTTTGGTTTGTGCATCTGTGTCAGTCTGTGTCCAATCAAAAGTCTTCCCACACCATGTGGGTCGATCAATAGGTGAATGCTGTTCGGGAGACGATGGGACTATCCTTGGAGTGTCGATGCTCTCAGAATTCCACAAGTCTAACTTCTAGCAGCTGCTACACCCTGTGAAAACACTCTACGCTTTGTCGTGGTGCCTTTGATGTTTCACATATAGTCTTATACATAGTCTACATTTAGTTTTAAAAAATATCTATATAGTTAACTTAGTTATAATATATGTACATAGTGTTGACCTGCGTTGACTGGTGCTCCCGGTTGCTCCCCTTCCACTTCTTGTGAACATGAGCACTATCATTCAGACTTGGTCAGGGTCAACAAATGAACAGTTTTAACAGCCCATACACAGCAGATTTGCCAGCTACCTCAATGCCATACATGCCAATAAACCAAATGGATCGTTGAACAACAGGGCAAATGTACTCATTGGTCCCTGCTCAACATGCTGTGGAAAAAAAACACCCACATACATCACTCTCCAGGTTACTGAATCTTAAGATCCATATTGAAATCCGGTTTTTCTTGAAAATTTCTTGTAACCCCCACGGCAATCCTCTCTTAAAACCCAAAACCCTGTTTTAAATCTGGAGATCTCCCTGCCCAATCCATGAGTTGTGGGTGCCCTGGGTGCCCTCATCTTCGAAACCCAAGCAGGTCGCCAAGTGACTGTTGGAACTTCAGCGAGTGTTCCTCAAACTTCTCAGTGCTTCCATGCCTTGGCACAACGAATTTCCGTCAGATTGTCTTGGCACAAAGGACCCCGAAACGGATTCACCCAGTTCGGGAAAATACACATCACCCTGTTCACAAAACCAAGGCCTTTTTCCACACGTTCCAACTGCTCTCGCAGGTCAATCAAAAAGTTGTCGGCAAATTTCCGTGATTCGTTGCAGGTGTAATAGTCGCACCAAATAACAAGGAACACATGATTAACACCCTATCGAGGTAAAGGCATGTTGATTACGTAATAATGGATGTGCATAAATACTTGGAACCACTCCTGGGACCCATTTGACCCCCTGCGTTCATAGGAAAAAACCTTGTTATTGGGTGGTTGGTCGAACATAGAGGTCACTCAGGTTCATGATGGTACGTACCCTGTCTCTCTCACTCTTGCTCTCGCTCTCGGGCGATGTTGAAGGGAACACGAAAACAGAAGTGGAAGTGGAAGACAGGAGTAGTCGTGGCAGGTGGCAAAGGATGCCAACTCTTAGCAGTTGGAGTGGTGCCACATGCATATTGAGGTGCAGGAGTGCGTGCTGGGGAAAGGCACTGACACGATTGAAGATGATTGAAGTAGAATCTGCGCAGCCGGTCCGGCAACGAAGGGGCATAGTATATGGCATAGACACACATAAAACATCATAAAACCATGAACCCAGCTTCGCGACCAAGCAGCAAGTACAGTGGCAATTCAGTTGGCTGGGACTTTTCAAGCCCTCCAACTATGCGCTGCTAAAGCCCCACGCAGCCCCAATCGATTTGCGAAATGTAAGGCGAGGAACTGGTGCACAAAAACGGGAGCAGGAACTGGGGTCTGGAGCAGGCAAGCAAGAGGAAAGAAAGTGCATCAGAACAAAAATGCCGTTCCCAGCACAAAAGCGTGTTGCTAGGTACGTACAAGCACCTGCTGCGCTATCTTCTGAACTGCAACAGGGGCAGAAAGCACATCACAAGCGCAGCAGCACGCAAACATCCGGCCGTGCAACTGCCTGGTGCCTTGCAGCGCAAAAAAAATGTGTTTTGAACGGCAACTGTTGCCGTCGCAGCAACGTCCTGCTAGGTACACGCAAACCTGTGGCACAGCTGTCATACAACATATATATATATATAGCCTTATGGTCCTTATGGTGTTAAATAATATGTTTGGTGTAGAGATAATATACGTACCAATAGCAGTACATAGAGTTTATTTGGATCCTCCTCTGCTCTACTCTAATTGGTTTTGTGCCATGTTCAATGAGAAAGCTGGCCGGATCAGCCTGAAAACCAAACAAATTGCGAAATCTAATGGGCAAAGATATCAACGCAGCCAGGTTCCAAGCCGGGACACTGAGCACTGCCACCAAAATCATAGTCCTAAGATATCTCCAATATATTAATATCTTCCAATATCTTTGTTTCGCCCTGCCCCTGCCCACGGGAAATGGTCGGGTTGTTTTTGGTCGAGGCTGGATCCTCCTGAGGCCATCTCGGCTCTCATAAAGGTGACTTCATGAAGAGCATCGTCGACGGACCATCCTCGCTCAGAGATCAAGTCAACACAAATGGTCATGAGGGCCTTGTCAGCTGCCTAATGGTGGGGTTGCGCAACCCAGTGTCCAAATCAAGCTTCTGTGTCATAAAACCCGTCAAGCGAAAGTAGTAGCTCTTCAAACTATCTAGATGGGCGACTTCACACATGGCCATGAAAATGCTGAAAGTCTCAAACAAAGTGCGAAGACTATGAAGACTGATTCCTCGCTGATGTCCAATGCTGGGGGTTCATCCAGCAACAGTGGGAGGGTCAACCCCTCCTACTTTACAAGTGATCTCCTCGGATGTGGAGAGGCTCAAACGAAATTTCCAAGGGACCCATTTGTAATCCCGAGTACCTATTAATAAGCACTCCCCAATAAAAAGACACCACGTCCGAACCCCTAAATTTGGTTTATATTTGGTTTTTAATTACCGCCCTTTCAAACCGCTACTAAACTACCAACATGGTCGATTTTGGGGGTAGTTTTTTTTAAAATTAGGTTCCCCAAAACTCCACCATGACACGCCGCGCTTACACCAGCAGGCTTTCCTTCCCCCAATGGCACGGACTCACGCAAACGCACTTGCCACCGAGGTCATGCAACACCGCATGGCACAGCGACATCACCTTTCAAAAGCTTTTAGCTGTTAGTCTACTGAAGAATCACTATTCTAATGAAGGTTTTTGTAGGGGAAAAGGAAGACCCTTCGATCTGGAGGTTTTTTGCACGCATTTAATAAAGGATTATGTATAAAAATGTCCTGGATTACTTTTTGAGTTTGAAACTCTTTCCAGGTGACCCTATTTTGGAGCCCCCCGATTTCAGGGACCCCCTATTAGAACAAATGCGACTGAGTTTTTTTTAATAGGGGGGGGGCCGTGTTTATTAATAGGTGGACCGGATTACTCCTGTCTTGTCTTCTGGTTGCGGATTAGGCTCAAGAGCCTCAGCCCCGGTGTATTCTCTGGAGTCAAAACCTCTGAGGGGTAATTGGCTCGGAATGTCTGCTTCATGGTCTGAACAACAGAGCCGCTCAATTTCGGTGCAAAAGTGTCTGCCCAAGAGTTCGCTCAATTTTGGCTGCTCTCGCTGCGGTTTTTTGCTCGCTCGGGCAACTGCGGGTGACTCTGCAGAGGTCGCGCATGTGGTCGACATGAAACGGAAAGCTGACGCTTGCAAAGCTGTGAGGACTGGAAACTAATCGCCCAAATCTCCGGCAGGGCGGACTCAAAGCCTTCAACAGTTCTGTGGGCCACCCAGCGTCGCCGTCAATGAACTTTTTCTGAACTCCACAAGAGCTCAACAGTTCAGCGAGATCCATCGCCGACACAGAGGGGCCGGTAACCAAAAGCTGTGAAGAGGTTGGCTGCCAACCTGTGTGAGGAATGTTTGCTCTGACCGAAAGCTGTGAGCGCAAACATTACTTCTGGCCTATGTCCTGTTGGCTGTTCTTGAGCAATCACCATTACGGACCCGGAGGTGTCCAAGGCCCAAGGTCCGTAAATTAATCGTTTGATCTTGCAGAGATTTTATGCATGACTCTTGCTGGTTTTGCGCTGGTGTGGTAACAAAACTGGCTTTGAAGACGAAGGAAAAAATTAAGTACTGCCGGGGGACCACCCCCTTTGCAAATGCAAAGAGGAACAGGAAGGAGACTGAGACTAGGAGACGAAAGAAAGATAGAGAAGAAACAATGTCAATGCAACTGCAATGAAGCCATGCGCATTAAAAACACCTAAGCAGCAATGCGCTACACATGTTTTCCAAGTGCGAACGGCGCAGCAACGGTTCATTCGGAATATTCCATCCTTTGCGGCCTGGATGGGAGCAAGGCTCTGGCTGGCCTGTCTATTCGCTCCTGCGTGATTGGCTGCGGCCACCGGGTCAGCGGCCACCGGGTCAGCGTCAGCTTGCAGATTGAGATCTGCATGCCAAGTGCGACGGTGCAAACAAAATGAGATTTCATCTATCTCCTCTTGCTAAGGACGCGGCACTTTGGGAGCGGGTTTGCTGTCTGTGTCGGACTCACTGTCTTGGGATGAGGAATCGGAGCTGGAGATTTCATGTGGGGCCCTCTCGCCTTTGGGAGTCAAGTGGTGGATCATCAACGTCCACTGAGATGACTTGTGGGCGGTCAAACGAGAAAAAGGTCCATGAAGTCAAAAAATGGCTCTTGCATAGGGGCCTGACTCCCCAACGGGGGTGTGAGGACGCCAGCCTTTCCGCACCTCCTCGACAATATCTGCTTGCAGGTGCGGGGAGCCAGAAACGTCATCCCTGCCATATACAGTGATCGGTGGACATGTTTCGTCCACGATTGCCCCCCCGACACAGCACAAGGATAGAATTCCAGCGTTCAAGCCATGTAGCCAAGCCCTGTGAACAGGCTGCGCACCGCTCGCAGCCCTGATCAGCTGAGACAGCACGCCAGGTTCCAACGGACAGCACCCAGGGTTCCAGGATGGAATTTCCAGCCCAAAGATTGCAACCCAACTGCATTCTGCTGTTGGGAACTTAGCATCCAAATCACGAAGGCACCCCCAGGACCATGAAACCGGCCTATACTATACTAGGACGCCACCATAACGAAAGGGCAAAGCTTCGTGGCCCATTTTGCTGACCCATAGGGTCGTACGTACATTCCCAAAAAGCCTCAAGCACTTGTACTTCCAAAGAATGGTCGATCTGGGGCCTGTCCCGTCCTCCATGGCCGACGTCCGACGTCCGTTCGCTTTCCTTCCTTCCTTCCGACCGACTGACCGGTTCGCTGTCCCGACTCGTCCAAGAGGCTGCCATAAGGCGAGGCCCTGGACTTCGGCATCGATCATCTGGGCGGCGGAGTTCGGCCGCCGTGGAGACCGTCGTTGGGGGGTCTTTCAGGGGGTGCGAGTAGAACACGACGTTTAGATGGAGAGTTGTTTTTTTCAGATCAGATGGAAATGGGTGATTTACAAGGCCAATCAAGGCCATGGACACCTTCAAGGAACCCATTGGGGAACACCAACGCTAGTTGGCTTGAACCACCATGTCCTGAAAAGACACGAACGTGGAAACCTTTTGGTCGGGGGGGTCCGGAACCCGTGCTTCTCTCAGACAATCTGAGGTAGCTTGAAGTAGCTTGAAGGATTAATCAACGCACTGGTTTCTAGGTTAGCGTTTTGAAGCTGTTTTTCTATAAAAATATCTCATCCTGCGAGCCATGTTACCTCGTTTTCTCGCCTCTCAAGTCTCACGCCTGGTTTTCTTGGTGAAGAGGCCACTATCTGAGACCCCCAAAACAACATGAAATCATGCACCGACTGAAACGTTTGCCTCTTCAACACTTTAGCCTCTTCAATCTTTGACCAGGTTCTGGATTGGTGATGCCTGAATTGAACAAATAAATGCGAACGTCGTCCAGCTTCTAAAATGTAGCTCAATAGTCTAAAATGTAGCTCTCAGCTTCTACCAGTGACAAAAACAAGTCCAGGTCTACTAACATGGAAACTCGGCAAGGACGACAAACATGGAAACTGACAGATCGTGCATCAATGATTCAGGACAGGTCCATGTACAGTAAAATACACAAAAACATATATACATGCTTTGTTGTTTCTACGGTGGTTAAGCAAAGCATCTGAGAGGGACCATGGCCTGCTATTTGCATCTATTTGCTGAGTTTGTTTTGTGTATCCCAGAACGGTGTGGAAAACTGTTCCACCAGAAAAAGGTACAACGACCCGGACCAATGGAATAGTTCTATCTTCGATGGAATTGGGAGGGTTGTGCATGCACCCACCAACCATGAGGTTCTGGAAGGGAACATGACCCAAGAAAACATCAAAACTTGCGCCACCCCCTCCAAAGGTTGTTTGTTGAACTATACCGGGTTGAATCAGTGACCAAATTCCAAACAAATATCATATCATACATTGCATATCTGACCATCACCACCATCCCCACCATCCCCAAACCGAACAGGAGACGCGTTTAGCGGGGTTCAGCGGAATCGGCGTTTCTTCGGCCCAGGAGACGCCACAGCGGCGCTCCAGGCTTTTGATCTCGGGCTCGAAAGGTTCGATGCTACGAGCCACCTCAGCTGCAGCTGGTTTGGTGGCTTCGTGGTGACTTCGTTGCTTCGTTTCCAAAGAGCTCGGTGAGGTCGGTGTCCTGTTTTTCAGCCAACTTGGCGGCTGCTGTCGATGGAGCGAAGCGACTGGAGCTGCGTTTCCACATGGGGCAGCGCAGACCGATCTACCAGGAGGTGCGTGCTCTGGGGCTGGGTGCCGGCTGGGTGCGCTCTCCACTCACGTAAGGCTCACGTAAGGGGGGTCTTAAACTCCACCCTGACATGGGAACTGCTCGCATGTGCTTCTACCAGGAGTCACAAGACTGGGTGGTGTTGAGTCCCTAAGTGAGTGGATGTTCTGGGCACCCCTGACCTCCATGGATAGCACCCCTTTGTGACTGCTGGTAGATATATATAGTTATATTGAATATATATATATATATCTGCTTGGAATAAGTATAATAGTATAAGTTAGTTGGGATTGTAGGAGGTCCATCTTCGCCTGGGACATCAACACGAAACACCAGCAGATCCACGTGCGACGTTCGTTCAGGAGACCGTTCTGTCATGTTCTTTCGTACTGCCTCCTGAATTCAACGATACTTGCCTTGGAAGACCCATCAGTTTAAATGATTCGTGGGGACTGTGACGTGGTGGGGTTGGGACCCGTTGGGATGACCTGTGCCTCCTCCCCATCACTGGATACAAATAAGGTTATGTCACATCTACTGTAGACTTTGCATGAATGCGTTGTAACTGGTTTCGACCCTGCCATCCCCCTGGCACAAACCCAACAAGCATCAAACAACTGTTTGACAACAAATGCCAAACCCATATGTAATCACCACTTGGGAAGTGAACTACACCAAATCCGAGGATATGGAGACTATAATATAATCACTTATTTCTTAATTGCACAATCAAGCCCAAATCGATCTAGCCACTGGATCAATAAGTGTCAATGACTCATGACAAGGGAATGGCAATCTCTGTCGGTCGTGCTTGCACAATGCAGCCACTGCGTCAAGCAGGACATGTGTATCACGTGCCCACACCACTGCATGCGCCATGAAGTGCGTTCAGCTTGCGCTGGCCCCCACGCATGGTCTTGCATCGTACCGGCCCCGAAGCATGGTCTTGCCTTCAGGAACGACCCTCTCTCCATGCCGGCACAAAGGAATGGTCGAAACCTGTCTTCCCAGTGTTGTCTGGGATGCACGTCCTTTTTTTGCGTGGATTACGTCGCGACCGTGGGGGAGGTGGTGGTCCATGATAGAACAGTCAACGAGGAGCTCATGAGCAAGTGGAGTGGGTGGTCCATCTGCCTCATCTGAAGCTGGGTGGTCTATACCTGGAGGACTGGCGCACTTGATCAACTAGAGCGACGACCAGCGGAAAAAGCAGCCCCAGATTCTAGAAGATGCTCGAAAGTGCAAACTCGCCACAGCAGTACTGTTGGGGTTCCCTATGACTCATGGACAGAATCTATGGTGAAAAGCAACCTGTCGGGGATGGTCTCCTCTGTAAGGGCTCACGGAAGCGGGAGGGGTGATGCAAATCATAGATTTTGTCACGCTCCCGCCCAGCTTCCCTGGAAAATAGAGGTTATAACATGTCAGGTTCTTCACTTGTCCTGGATAGGTGCTTCTTTCCATCCTCAGATTGACATCGATTCTGGTCCCCGCAAAGTAACACACCCACGTCGTAGAAGACAATGATCATCCAAAACGGGTAGCCATTTCCGGCCCGAACCTTCCCGCGGTGTGGCTGTCACTCACGTCTCTGACGTGGGTGCGGATCGGGTCGATGCCATGGTTGGAAAACCGACGCTATGAGGCACTCTCTGTGAAGAAGCTACCTTCGATTTTGACACCACACAAGGGTCCTCAGAAGCGGGTGAAGTTTCGAGTTTTGAAGAGTTTGCTGGAGAGATCTGATTTCTGTATCCTGGAGTGTGAGTCAGAACAGGGTGAGACATTTCATCTGAAGATTAAGGGTGAGTACGAGTTCTGGATCAATACATCAGGAGAATTTTGGCTGGGAAGTGATTGGTCGTGTGGGAAATGGGTTCACTCTTTGTGGATGATGCCTGACTTGCAGGATGTGAACATCCCTCCTTGTTCGCACCAGGTCGGTTTTGAGGCAATGCTCCCACTCCTTACGATTTTCCTTCGTAGCTGCAGTGATTCAGAAGCTTTCCTGAAGAGCGATGACTTTCTCGTGAGTACAGCTCTTTTTGTGCACATGGCTTGGGGCCTCATTTGTGGTTTTAGTTGGAGTGATTTGATTCATGTGTTTGGCTTTGAGGGCCTACAAGGGTCACCCTTCGCCGCATCTAAGCCATCTGTTGAGTCGCGATCTCTTGCTAGACCTCAACAGCGAACTGCTCATCAACATGGGGCCCTGGCTTTATTGAGCTGTGAAAGACGTCATTTAGCCGATGTGCCTCAGAGCACTCCGTTCATGCGCTGCCTGAGGGTTTGTAGGCCCAATGACCTGCATTTGCGTGAGACTTGGCACTTTTGTGGAGATCCAAAGGGTTTGCATCCTATTGCCGTCGGGGCTGCCCCTTCGTGGAGTTCGGTTAGGTCTACGCTCCTTCGTCCATACGCGACTGTTGGAGAGCGACTGGATTTTGCCACGCAAACAAATGGGTGGTTATCTACCGATGAATGGGCGCACGCTGCCACTAAGATCCGCAGACCGGCATCCGCCTGTCACCTAATGCCTTTGTGTCAGTACGTCCCTACCAATGATGATTTCGTCTTTGACATCGAGGATTGCCATGTTCCCAACACAGGGGTATCACTCCTTCCGATTCTCTTGGGATCGCACTGGATCGGAGCAGAAATTGACAGAGTCCACGACATGCCTGAAGTGACGCTACTGATGGTCCCAATCCCCCTGAGGAATAGGGTCGAGCGCTTCGTTTGTCAAATGCTCCACATACCACCGCACCGTGTTCGCATAAGTTTCGGTTTGGACTCCTCCCCGCCCCTGATGTGTGGGTGGGTTCTCCTGCAACGTTGGATTGGTTTACTTCATGCCCAGGATGCCTTTTTCAACGTGCTGCATGAGTACCATGCCCTGTCCGAAGACCGGAAAAGGATCATACACAGAGTCTTGCAGTCGTCTGTTCTGTCATGGGAGCGGACAGGTGCCTCAGACACGCTCCAGCAGATCGCCTACACAATCCGACAGTCCTTTTTGACCAACATGTTTCATTTCAGCCCGACTGTCCACACCAGGCTTGATTCACTATCTGTTGTCGCTGCTGGCCAGCCATTGCATGTTTTCCCAAACCATAACATGCCACAGAACGTGCAGCAGACAACATCAGTTGTCGAGGTACAAACGCAAACCATGTCATTGAATGATGGGCTCGTTGAGACTCACACGCAGACCGAAGCTCTCAACATTTCGAGTGAAAGAAATCTTGTAGTACATGCACGCATGCTTCCGGCTCACATCCGACGACGCCTGCAGGAATTCGCCATTCAGCCGGACAAGGCAGCATCAGACGAGATTGATTTCGTTCTGAGGTGTTTCAGGGACAGTGTCCAGGGTGTGTGTATCCTGCCTTGCTGTTTGTGGGATCGGGGAATACAGACAGTGCGTGTCATCTCAGGTCAGGAATTGCAAGGTTGGTCAACATGGGATACACGAGTCTTGATCCTTGCAGCCGATCACTGGTTTTTGGCACAAGTGTACCTAGATGGAAACATCTTTGTCATTCATGTCCATGGATTTCGACTGCCGTGGCCTGCCGACTTCAACGATTTCATTTGTGCTTTTGCCAATTTCCTTGGAATAGGCCTGCCACATGTCCAAGCATTTCGCTTTGAATGCCCTGCTCCCTGGCGTATGTGTGGCTTTTCCATGTTACTTGCTTTGTTCAGATCATGTCATGTGTCCATTTGGCCGACCGTAGATGATGCCATTCAGTATCTACAGCAACACAGGGAGCAAGAACTCCTCACATATATAGGTCAACATGCACTTCAAGCTTGGAACATGGCCACCACTGATCCAGAACTGCTACATTTCGCTTTCACAGTAAGAGCCGCCTTCCTGGAAGAACTTCTCCGTACAGAAGAAAGTGTGACACATGCATCAGGGGGTGCAATAGGATCTGAGTCCAGTCTACCTGTCCTGACAGACAAGACACGAAATATCCTCATGCAACACGTCCGCTCTCATATGCCAGTGGATGGAATTTGTGCTTGTATGACCAAAGGGTTCACTGCGCAGGCTACCCTAAAGCAATACATTCAGGATTGGGCCGGTGTCTCGATGGTCTCATGTCGTATTGTGCAGCCAACATCGCCTTTGGGGGACAGAATTGGGAACTTGCAATGCGCTTGGCCCCAGTGCACGCATACTAAAGCTCGTTTCGCACATGTGTTGTTACCGAGGGAAATGTGGGAGGCAATTGGCCCTGATCAAATGGTTTTCCTGATTGAGGCGAAGATCCTATGGCAGGACGGGACACCACTGGTAGATCTTCGATCCCCACAATCTGGCCTGATCCGTGTTGATTTGAATAGGAAGCCGGATGATTGCATGATTAGGGTAGGAGAGCTGTTCGCAGGTGGTTTTTCGGGCTGGTCATTCGGGATCAAATCCCTTCAAGCCGCACATTTGCCCATTCAGCACGTATTTTCGGTGGAAAATGACGCAGTTATGGCCAAACTGCACGCCTGCAACCATTCGCCTCATCAGGTACTATCCAGCCCGGCCCAGGCCGCAGCATCAGGTATCGATGGCAAGACCCCAGTACCAGGACGGGTCGTCCAGACACATATATGTGTCCGTTGGTGACACGGTCATGGTTTAGTGTCCGGATAGGCCGTTTAGTGTCCGGACACGCCCCTGGGCAGGCCTGCACGCATGAGGAACCCAGATGCCAGAACAAGTGTCCGAACATTGTGTCAGCGTAAGCGTTTGTCAGGATAGTCTGTCAATACATCATGCCCTTTCCTTCTTCCAAATCCTCCCTATGCCAGAACAAATGTCAGAACATTG